GGACAAAACCAACATTTTGTCCCAAACGTCCTGTTCCATATGCTGTTATAGAACAACTAGACGCTGAGTTGAAACGGTTAGAAGAATTAGGTGTACTTAGTCCAGTTACCTATTCGGCATGGGCTGCTCCAATCGTGGTCGTACGTAAAGCCAACGGGTCTATTCGGTTGTGCGCCGATTTCTCCACTGGGTTAAACAATGCATTGGAGACACATCAATACCCGTTACCTGTTCCCGAAGATTTATTCGCCAGATTGAATGGAGGCAAAATTTTCTCCAAGATCGATTTTTCAGAAGCTTATCTGCAAATTGCAGTGGACGATAATTGCAAAGAACTACTCACGATCAATACTCACCGTGGTCTATATCGCTACAACCGATTGCCATTTGGCGTTAAATGTGCACCAGCTATTTTCCAACAGATTATGGATACTATGCTTTCGGGTATCGACTTTGCCATGGCATACCTAGATGATATAATTATTGTCAGCCGAGAAATAAAAGACCATAAAAAGCATGTGGAAGCAGTCTTACAACGGATTAAATCTTTTGGATTTCATGTCCATCGAGATAAATGTTCTTTTGCAATGTCTAGCCTTACATATCTTGGTTCAGTTATAGACTGTCATGGCCGGAGGCCGGATCCAGCAAAAATCTCCGCTTTAGAAACTATGCCACCTCCGACAAACAGATCGAAATTACAATCCTTTCTCGGCATGGTGAACTACTACAACCAATTCGTACCCCAGATGTATCAACTACGGGCTCCTTTGAACGAGCTACTAAAGAAAGATTCGGAATGGAATTGGTCTCCAGAGTGTCAAAAGTCATTCGACGATATTAAGAGAATTCTGTCATCTAACTTGTTACTCACTCACTATGACCCAAAGTTACCAATAATTGTAGCAGCAGATGCCTCCGAATATGGTATTGGTGCAGTCTTACTACACAAATTTCCAGACGGGAAGCACAAGGCGGTATCACACGTCTCTCGTTCTCTTGAACCAGCAGAAAAGAACTACAGTCAGATTGAAAAGGAAGGACTGGCATTGGTGTTTGCACTTAAAAAATTTCACAAAATGCTCCAAGGCCGAAGGTTTACCTTACTCACAGATCATAAACCGTTACTCAGCATTTTCGGAACCAAAAAAGGCATCCCGATCCACACAGCTAATCGGTTGCAACGTTGGGCCACGATGCTTTTGGGATATGACTTTGAATTAAAATTTGTCAACACAACAAACTTTGGTCACGCTGACGCATTATCCAGACTAATTGCAGATCATATGAACAAGCTACCCAATGAAGAACTGGTGATCTCATCCATCTCCCACGATTCAGAGATAAAATATATTTTTGAGAGTTCGGTCTGCCATCTACCGGTAACGGCATCGTTGATCAAACAGGAAACGCAAAAAGATGAAGAGTTAATGAAAGTGATAGACTATCTCAGTAACGGCTGGCCCACACAACTAACTGAAGGTTACTGCCAAGAATTCTTCAAACGAAGGTACGCTTTGACATTGGAAGACGGGTGCATAATGTACTATGACCGGGTTGTTATCCCAAAGGCTCTTCAAACTCAAGTGCTTCGTCAGTTCCATGAGGGCCATCCCGGTATCAGTCGAATGAAAATGCTTGCCCGTAGCTATGCCTACTGGCCTCTGATGGATAAGCACATTGAAGATATGGTAAAGGATTGTCACGAATGCTCTATGGCTGCCAAAATGCCAGTTAAAAGCGAGTTACAATCTTGGAGAATTCCTCAATCATGCTGGTCACGTGTCCACATAGATTTTGCAGGACCCATACGAGATGTTCACTATTTGATTATTGTTGACGCTTATTCCAAATGGCCGGAAGTTTTACCAATGCGTACTATTACAACCCATGCTGTCATTTCTAACTTACGGCGAATTTTCTCTCAATTCGGTATTCCTGAAGTGATTGTATCAGATAACGGCCCACAATTCACCTCAGCAGAGTTTACAGCCTTTTGCGCAGCACAAGGTATCAACCACATGAGAACTCCAGCATACCATCCACAATCAAATGGTCAGGCAGAAAGATTTGTTGATACTTTTAAACGTGCACTCATCAAGGCACAGCGCGAGGTGAATGTTCAACAGTCCATCGAAAAATTCTTGCTCGCTTATCGAGCTACACCAAGTCGCACAATTCCGGATCAAAAGTCCCCAGCTGAGCTATTTTTGGGACGACGATTACGACTGACATTGGACGCCATGAAACCAACACTAGCCGCTAGCGAACGTAATGTCACTATGGAAAAACAGTTTAACAGACATCACGGTGCTAAGCGACGTAGTTTCCAGATTGGGTCTAGTGTTTTCGTGCGCAATTTTTGTAATGGATCTGAACAGTGGCTACCTGGACAGATAATTGAACGCAAAGGTTCTGTCTTATATGCAGTTAAAGTAAGAAACTTTATCTGGACGAGGCATGTTAACCACATC